CAGTACATGACTCGTAGAGTTAACAGTGGCCTCAGTACATAGGCTGAGGGTCACACGATATGCATTTGATTAGGTTTAACTATGCTAAATAGTTAAACATAGATAGCGGTTTGGCTGCAATAAAAATAAATAATACACTTCTGGTTTTGAAGCATAAAGTTATTAGTGTTCTTAATAACTTTGAGCCCTCGTTCTTGGGCTGTAAGTTTCCTTCGGATATGGGACTTAATTTTAGGGACTTTTTGAGTCGTACGTCTTCCTCTGACGCTTAGCTACGGCAGTACCGCTGCACTTGGTAGCACCCGTAGCCAATCCCGCACCTGAGTCGGTTGACGGTATCCTCTGTGAGGATAAAACACCCAGTGTTCGCGGCGCAGCAGGACGCGCTTAACAAGCTCATGTCCTTGCTTGGCCCGGAGGGTGTGGCCCACCTTACGTCGCAAGGTCCAGAGGCGGTGACCGCCAGGCTGGAATCGTTCTCCTGTTATGATAACACGCTCTTGGAGCATACCCAAGAAAAGATGAGCTCCGCAACGGGTCTGCTAGACCGAAACCGCTCTTGGTGAGCGTAAAAAACTTCGAGGGGAAGGATGGAGAGAATCTCCTTCTCTGGACCCGTGAGGTCGAGATGGCTATGGGATCCACCCTGCTTCAGTCTGAGCAGCAGCGCGTCACGCTGGCTATCTCCAAGCTTGGAGGTCGCGCTCGCGAGTGAGCACTAACGTGCGGTATGTCAGTTGGCACGGCATTCCCCACTTGGGATCAGCTGAAGCAGCAAATGTCGCGCGTGTTTGCACGTATTAGGCGTACCGTATTCGGTCGAAGTTCCTTGCTACCCGGTAGGGTAAGGAGGAATTGCTGGGCTATGTCCAAGAGTTGAGAACTCTGATCGCCGGGGTGGCGGCGGACCCTCTTCCGAAACTGGGAACTGTGACCGTGTTCATGGGTGGACTCCGCGTGAGCGCATCTCGAACGGAAGTATTCCGTGTACACCCTACCTCTTTTGAGGAGGCAGTGAACGTGGTATTCAATGCCGAACATAACTTCAGGTCGGCTCGACCTGGTTGGAGCGCTGGTAGCACGAGCTCTTCGAGCGGTCCGGAACCGATGGACCCCAGCTATGCTGAAGATGAAGAAGCAGAGCTTCTTGCTGCTGAGCAGCGTGCCGACGTCCGCCGATGCTTTACGTGCAAAAGCACCAAGCATCTGAGAGCGAGCTGTCCTCTGCCCTCTGCGCCTTAAGCGCCAGGCTCCGGCGAGCCAAACCTCCGGGTGTTCGCCGGGAAACGGCAACTCTCAGTATGCGCGGGGCAGCCTACTGGGGAAGAACTGAGTTCTGTTGTGCCTCGAGGAGGTAGAGGACAACGGGGCTCAGCCTCGAAGAGAGCTGGGCTCTCTAATAAGAAGAGTGTGTGCAAGCCCGGCTTGCTGGTCATTCAAGCGAGCGTGAAGGTCTTTGTGAAGCCATGGATAGTCTTGATTGGCTCGGAAGCCTCGAGCAACTATGCCCGTCGCTCCACCCTCGAAGGGAGTCAGCTGTATGTTGAGGCACAGGAAGTGCGAACGCGAGATGAAATCTCAATCCGTCTTGCGACGGAGACACTTGTTACGGTGTCGGAGGTCTCTGTTGACCTTAATGTGAAGTTCTTAGACTTCGATAGCGTGGAACGCCGTTTGGTCTTAGACCTGGATTCGAGGTATGACCTCATCCTGGGCATGGCATGGCTGGAGCGCCATGAGCCATATATCAACTGGAAGTCGAAAACACTCGGTGCTACGCACCCT